AGAGAATAAACTTCTCTTTGTTAATTTGTGGTATTTCTGTTATAGCAGCACTAGATGACTAAGACAAACATCCAACTAATAGGGGAAGAGCATATCAAAGCAATAATATTATAAGAAAACTTTCCAGAAATGAAAGATACAAGTTTTGGTATTGAAAATACCACTAAATAATCTCCCAGACAAATTAAAAACAAAAATAAATAAAATCGTCAGAATCACACCAGTATGAAATTTTAACACTATTGATAGAGACAATCCAAAAAGCTTTCAGAAAAGGAAAAAAAAAAACTGTTCACATACAAAAGATAGTAGTAAAATAGTTAAAGTAAAAAGCTAAGCTGCCAAAGATACTCAGCAGGGCAGGAAGACAAATTGCTCTGCCTCCAGGGACCAGGATTCCTTTTATCTTATTTCTCCACCATTCCCAATAGTTTTTTCTTTGTCTGCCCTGTTGAAGCTAAATCACAGGCACATCCATGTTATACCTCCTAGGAAAAGGGAAGAGCATGGAGGAGTACATGTACAATGACTTAAAGGCCAAGACTGGGAGTAGCACTCACAATTTCTGCTATAACTTAGTCACATGGATATACTTAGCTGCAAGGGGGCAGGAAAATAAAGTCCCTCACTTGGCAACCATGTGCCTAGCTGCAGCCCTGTTACTATAGAAGAAGGAAAGGATGGGCTTTAGTGCACAAGTAGCAGTCTCCCCACATGTGGGAATCATAAAGCATCAGACTCCAGCAGCAACACTGGAAACCAAAAGACAATGGAGCGGTAACCTCAGAATTATGAAGGGAAATGATTTCCAACCTGGAATCTGAACAGAGCAGACTATCAATCAATTGGGAGGATAAAATAAATATATCTTCAGGAGGCAAGGCCTTAATAATTTTATCTCTCATGCACCATTTTGAAAAAGCTACAAGAGGTTGTGCTATCCCCAAATAAGGGAACAAGCCAAGGAAGAGGAGAGGAGGTTTATAGTCCTGAAAGAGAGATTGAGACTGAATTAGTGAAAGATCAAAGGAAACCAGGTGAATAAATTTAAGGAGGAAAAAAGGCAATTACAAACTGCAGGGAAAAAATTTGATCAAGAAAAGTAATATAGTACACTACAGGGCTGAACTATGAATAATCATATTTATATTGTCATCATAATGTAAGCATAAATACTTATTTAGCCAAAAGAATGCTATGTAATGCTATTAGAAAGATGGAGAGAAGGATGTTATGTAAAAAAAACAATAAATCCTAATATCTCTTAGCAGTGGGGGCATTGGTAGTTCAAGGGTAAAATTCTTACCTTCCATGCAGGAGACCTCGGTTTGATTCCCAGTCAATGCACCTCATGCACAGCCACCAGCTGTCTGTCAGTGGAGGCTTGCATGTTGCTATGATGTTGAACAGATTTCAGCAGAGTTTCCAGACTAAAATGGGCTAGGAAGAAAGGCCCGGTGACCTACTTCTGAAAATCAGCCGATGGTCCAATCAGCAACATTTCCCATTGTGCATAGGTCACCATGTGTCTGAGCCAACTCAATGGCAGCTAACAACAACAATCTCTTAGTTAAAAGTCAATAGATAATGTCTAAAGTTGAAAATCAAGATACGCAGAAAAAAACATGTTTTTTGGAAATTTGATAGTAAGTTCTGGAAGAAATAGCTATAAGAATTAAAAGTGATTGCCCTGAGGTGCAGGAACTTGGGGAGGGAAGCAAGGGAGTGGCTACTTTTTGTTAATAAGCATTGTGATTCTATTTGACTTTTTAAATTATTTATGTGTCTTAGTTATCTAGTGCTACTATAAGAGAAATACCACAAATGGATAGCTTGTAGGCTAGAAGTCCACAGTCAGGGCATCAGTTCCAGGAGAAGGCTTTCTCTCTTTCTGTCGGCTCTGGGGGGAGGTCCTTGTCATCAGTCTTACCCTAGTTGAGGAGGTTCTCAACACAGGGACCCTGGGTCCAAAGGATGTGCCCTTCTCCTGGCACTACTTTCTTGGTGGTATGAGGTCCCCCATGCTTCTCTGTTCACTTATCTCTTTTATATCTCAAAAGAGATTGACTTAAAACACAATCTAATCTTGTAGATTGAGTCCTGCCTCATTAACATAACTGCCACTAATCCCACCTCACCAACATCATAGAGACAGGATTTACAACACACAGGAAAATCACATCAGATGACAAAATCGTGGACAATCACACAATACTGCAATATTGAGCCTAGCCAAGTTGACAGACATTTTTGGGGGACACAGTTCAGTCCATTAACAAAATATTATGTTAGTTTGATAAATAAAATTTTAATTAAAAGAAAGAAAGCCCCTCCTCCTTCCACTAAGCAATCGACTCTACTGAGCAAAGTATTAGCAAGCCAAAGAATTAACATCATACAGACCATGTTCTCTGGCCACAGGTCAGTGATATGGTGGGGGTGGGGGGTGAGGAATAGTAAAGTTATAGCTTACAAAAGAATAAAATTCATGCATTAGGAAACAGAAAAACTTCTAAATAATTCATGAGCCAAAGAAGAAATTAAAAATATTTAGAACTCACCAGCAACAAAAACACTATATATCAAAACTTGTGGGACCCACACAAAGTGGTTTGTAAAGGAAAATCTACAGTCTTAAGTGAATATATCAGAAAAGAAAATGGAAAAACCATAAGCTAAGTGTTAACTTAAAAATTCCAAAAGTGAGAACATAAATAAGAGGGTAAAATAAGAACAGAAATTAGTAAAACCAAGAAAGAATAGAAAGAACCCACAAACCCCAAAGCCAGCCCTTTGAAAAGATTGTTTTTTTCCATTTCTGTAAAGAAGGCTGTTGGAATTTTGATAGGAATTTGTAACCCAACGAGGGACACCAGGACTTTGAGAAAGAGACAGTAGACTTTATTGCAAGCCGGTCAAGCAAGGAGCTTGGAGACTAAGTTTCAAATCAAGCTCCCCAAGGTTGGGGGTTCTGGGGCAGTTATAGGGTTCAGGATAGGGAACTTATGCATAATTCTTGAAGTTTTTGGGAATAGTTGGGCCATCTCAGGAACTAATTAACACGTATGGGGGTGTAGTGGGGGGTGTAATATGGCAGCTGGAGACGTATGTTTTTTGGAGGGTATAACACATGAAGTTTATCTGAGGACAGCTTTTCAGCTTATTGCTCATGTCCAAATGGGGGTGGGGGTTGATAAGTAGTGAAGCGGCCTTGAGCAGAAAAGCAGTAAGACGACCTTGGGCTGTTACACAGAATGCCTTATCAGGAACTCAGAGGCCCAGGTGTGATGGGGGGAGGAGGAACAGTTTAACCCTGTCGGTTACATTCCAGGAGGGGGAACAGTTCAACCCTATAGGTTACATAATTGCATTAAATCTATAGGTCACTTTGGATAGTATTAACATCTTAATGATATTAAGTGTTCGAGTTCATGGACATGGAACGTCTTTCCATTTGCTTAGATTTTCTTTAATCTCTTTCAGCAGTGTTTTATAATTTTCATTGTATAAGTCTTTCACATCCCTGGTTAAATTTATTCCTAGGTACTTTATTCTCTTAGATGCTATTATAAATGGAATTGTTTTCCTAATTTCCATTTCAGATATCTCATTGCTGGTGTATAGAAACCCAACTGATTTTTGTTTGTTGATCTTGCACCCTGCAACTTTGCAAAATTCCTTTATTAGCTCTAGAAGCTTTCTTGTGGATTCTTTGGGGTTTTCTTCTTTTCTGATTTGGATACCTTTTATTTCTTTTTCTTGTCTTATTGCTCTGGCTGACTCGCAATACAATACTGAATAGGAGTGGTGAGGGGAGGCATCCTTGTCTCATTCCTGATTTCAACGGGAAAGCTCTCAGTCTTTCTCCACCATTAAGTATAATATTGCCTGTTGGTTTTCCATAAATGCCCTTAATCATATTGAGGAACTTTACTTCTATTCTTATCTTCTTGAGGGTTTTTATCAAAAAAGAGTGTTGTATTTTATCAAATGCCTTTTTCTGCTTCAACAGAGATATCATGTTGTTCTTCTCCTTTGTTCTGTTAATGCGTTGTATTACATTGATTGATTTTCTAATGTTGCATTCCTGGAATAAATTCCATTTGGTCATGGTGTTTGACTTTTTTACTATGATGTTGGATTCTAAGAAGAGGGCTTTTTAATACTGGGTTCTTATCAAGGGCATTCAGGGGAATCTATGCACAAGGATGGGAGAATTATCATCCTTATTTTCCTTTACCTCTTACTGAAATTTTCTTTAATTTTGAACGTAGATAACAACCCATAGTAGTGTTAGCAATGCCTGTGACTTTTTCACCAATAGAAATTGCTGATATTTTCACATTATATTACAATTGTTATAGATATCATGAAATATTGTTTATGTTCCTGACTACTTCAAGATTATGGTGGTTACTAGACCCGCTGTTATGAAGAATAAAGAATCACATCTATATCCTAAGTCCTTGCTATATATTTCAATAACTGTAGTTAATATAATTGATCTACTTTATAATCCTTTGAATTTTATGATTCTGAAAAGGGGTCCATCAGCATCACTAGACTGTCAGTGGGGTCCTTGGCACAAAAAGAGTTGAGAATCCTGGTCGAGGAGGATTAGTCCAAAGCAAGATCTAAGGAACTCACCCATATAATGTCAGAGAGGTGGCCGTTATTTTTCTAACAGAGTCTGGGCCAGGAGCTGAGCCTGTTTTCTTCTGTTCTCTTTCCCCAGCAGAGGTCCGGCCCAGTGGGAGACCCATCAACACTGCCCGGGAGCCACCGCTCACTGAAGCGTCAGGTATGTATAGTCCAGATCTTTGGCTCAAGAAACCTGTGTCACTTCTTTCACCCAGTTACCCAGCAACATGTCTATAGTTTGCTGAATACCCAATGGATGGCCATGAAAGTTATCTACAGACCTAGACAGATGTCCTCATCCACCTCCTAACCCCAGCCTGACTTCAGGAGGTGAGCCTGACAGAAGCAGAAAACTCATCCAGAAGAAAGAGCTAGGGCCTTCCAGAAACATAGCCTGAGCTTCAAGCTCTAGAGCCATTGATTACCACAACCCCTCCTGGCATAGGACCAGCCAATGTATGGTCATACAGAGCCAGGCCCTGCCTGGAACTCCTAGCCTTGAGACAGACACATAGACCCAAATCCTGCCCAGGGAGCCTCCTGGAAATGCTTTCATTTCTAAGACAGGTATTTGGAGTCTCTGGGTGGTGCAGACAGTTAATGCTCAGCTGCTAACCAAAAGATTGGAGGTTTGACTCCACCTAGAGTTGCCTCAGAAGAAAGGCCTAGAGATCTACTTCCGAAAAATTAACCTTGAAAAACCTGTGGAGCGCAGTTCCACTCTGACACACATGGGATCGCCATGAGTCAGAATTGACTCCATGGCAGCTGGTTTGGTTTTTTTCATGTCTTTCAAAGTGTGATGTCCAGAACTGGACACGAAACTATAGGTGTGATCTGAACAATGCAAAATCATCATAGACTATCACATCCTTTTTTGAACCTTCTACTTTTATTTACCACGTTAGCATCTGTGTTGTACAGGAAAGAAGACTAGATTTGGAGTCATAAACTCAGTTCAGGTTCTATTCTGGTCACTGACTAGCTGTATCCTTGGGCAAATGAGCTTCACTTCTTGAGCTTCAGTTTATTTTTCAGTAAAACAGAAATTATAATACTTCCCTTAGAGAATTATTATAAGGATAAATAACAATTTTAATAGCTATCATTCATTAGGTGCTTCGGGGTACCCAACACCATACGACATATGATTTGCAACATTAGATCTTTCAACCCCTACAATAACCCTGATGAGATTGGTCTGAGTACCCACATTTACAGAACTACAGGTGTGGCCTGTACAGGTGAGGAAGCTGAGACTCCTGCACATGGTCAAACAACTGATAAGTGGCAGAGCCAAGATTAGAATCCAGATCTGCCTGACTTCATGAGCCCAGGTTCCTATACACCACGCTATACTGACATGTTAGTTTTCTTTCCTCTCTCTTCTTCCCTTTCTCCATATTTTAACTCCCTTCCCTCTTTTTCCCCCTTTCTTCTTTTTCCTTGTCTCTTTTCCTGTTAATTCCCCCTTTCTCTTCCTTTCTTTTTCATTTCCTCCTTTGCTCTTATCTATCTTCTCTCTCCTTCTTCCCTCCATCCATCCACTCTGAGACACAAGAGGATCACAAGACAGCCAGAGAACTCCACCACCCTCCTTGTGTTAGACACTGGGGAAAAAGAAACAATCTCAGAGAGCCAGCCGGGATGGGGCAACAGGTGGCCTCCCTTCTACCAGCACACACAAAGTCCCTCTCACTTTTGTTTCTCAATTCCTCTAGTTCCTGGGGATGTTTTTGCCAAGAATTCTCTGTGGAAGGGGGCCTATGAGTACCAGGGGAAGAAGCAGCCAGCCATGCTCAGAGTGACTGGCTTCCAGGTTGTCAACAGCAAAGTCAATGCCACCATGATTGACCACAGCGGTGTGGAGCTGCACTTGGCTGGTAAGGAACAGGCCACCTGGTGAAAAGTAAGGTTGAAGCAGGCACACGCCCTTTGCAAGGATGAGTCTAATGTCATTGCATTGTGCTGTACACAAGGCTCAGATGTGTCTGGTGGGCAGGAGGAGGAGAGAAGTCTATTTGTCTTTGTTTACGTGATAAAAGCACCAGAGATTAAAGGGAACTTGTTAGATGGCAAAGGGCTAATAACGCGAATGTATAAAGAACTCTTATAAATAAAGACCAATATCCCTAAAATTGAAGACATTGGTGGTTTAGTGATAGGATTCTCACCTTCTACTTGGGAGACCCAGGTTTGATTGCCAGCCAGTGTACCTCGTGTGCAGCCACCACCCGTCTGTCAGTGGAGGCTTGCATGTTGCTATGATGCTGAACAGGTTTCAGTGGAGCTTCCAGACTGTCATGGATTGAATTGTGTCCCCTAAAAATGTGTATATCAATTTGGCTGGGCCATAATTCCTGGTAGTGTGTGATTGTCCACCATTTTGTCATCTGATGTGATTTTCTTGTGTGTTGTAAATCCTGCCTCTATGATGTTAATGAGGGGAGATTGGCGGCAGTTGTGTTGATGAGGCAGGACTCAATCTACCGGATTGGATTGTATCTTGAGCTGGTTTCTTTTGGGATATAAAAGATGGAAGAGAGCAGAGAGACAGGGGGACCTCATACCACCAAGAAAGCAGCACCAGGAGCAGAGAGCATCCTTTGGATCCGGGGTCCCTGCGTGGAGAAGATCCTACTCCAGGGGAAGATTGATGAGAAGAACATTCCTTCAGAGCTGATAGAGAAAGCCTTCCCCTGGAGCAGATGCCGTGAATTTGGACTTCTAGCCTACTTTACTGTGAGGAAATAAATTTCTCTTTGTTAAAGCCATACACTTGTGGTATTTCTGTTATAGCAGCACTAGATGACTAAGACACAGACTAAGACAGACTACAAATAAAGACCTGGCTGTGTATTTTTAAAAATAAGCCAATGAAAGCCCTATGGATCACAATAGTCCAATCTCATTGTGCATGGGGTCACCAGGAGTTGGAGGCTGACTCAACAGCAGCTGACAACAATCCCTAAAATTGAACCAAAAATAGGGGCAGAGAATTCCTGGAAGCCAAAATACAATCAATAAACAAAAGAAAAAATATTTTTCACCAGTGATCAAAACAATGATAATGAACATAAAATATCATTTTTTTACTCATCCTATTAGCTAAGATTTTTTTTCATGTTTGCAGAAGAAATTTATTGAGAATTGAGATAAAGACGGGATGTCCAGTATATACTTGATAGATGACTTTATTATGCATGACAAGTTTTTTTTTTAATTTTTATAATACTGTTAAATGAGAGAGCAAAGTAGAAAAATTCAAATAGTCCGGGAAATACAATTACTACTATTTCTAAAACTACTGATCATAATCTCAGACATGTAATCCTCTTTGATTAAATTTTCTTTTGTTGTGAAAAAATGGAATTTGGGTACAGAAAAATTGTTCATGGATCAAATTATTTTTAAATTCCAATATAATACATAAGCCAATGCAAATAACATGCCACTGTTTTGGATTATTTTATAAAACATGCTTTTTAAAGCACTTTGAATGTATGGTATGAGCTTGGCAGGAAATCCCATTTGCTCTGTACTCATGATGATAACGTCCTCTTTTAAATCCTTCTGCCCATCTAGCTAAGATTTTTTAAAGGTAACAAACCTTAGTGCTGGTCCAATTTCAGCAAAGGCACTCATACAGTGCTGGTAGAATATAAAATAGTACGGTTCTAGAAAACAATTTGGCAGTTTCTATCAAGATTCTTGAAAATGAGCAGACCGTTAATTACACTTCTAAGAATTTCTGTCCTAAGAAATAACTATGGAGGGGGTCAAATATTTATGAATAAAGGATGTCCACTTTAGAGGGCTATTTGTATTACATAAAAATTAGAAATAGAAAATTGTCTGAAAATAGAGAAGTGGGTACATTAATTAGAGTCTATCTGTTGGATGAAATATTATGCAAATTTGGGGACAAATGCCCCAATATAACCCAAGACATGGTGTTTTCAATCACCTCATCTGCATGCAAAACCTGGACAATGAATAAGGAAGACCAAAGAATTGATGCCTTTCAATTATGGTGTTGGCGAAGAATATTGAATACACCATGAACTGCCGAAAGAATGAACAAATCTGTCTTGGAAGAAATACAGTCAGAATGCTTCTTAGAAGCGAGGATGGCGAGACTATGTCTCACATACTTTGGACATGTTATCAGGAGGGATCAGTTCCTGGAGAAGGACATCATGCTTAGTAAAGTAGAGGGTCAGTGAAAAAGAGGAAGACCCTCAATGAGATGGATTGATACAGTGGCTGTAACAATGGGCTCAAGCCAAGAAACAATTGTGAGAATGATGCAGAGCCAATGTTTTGTTCTGTTGTACATAGGGTCGCTATGAGTCAGAAACAACTCAGCGGCACCTATCAACAACAACAATGCATTTAAAATATGATTCCAGTTTTTAAAGGAAAAATTATATTCATAAATAAAATTGGAAATATTTACACCAAAATATCAACAGTGAAAAAAAATGTTGACAGTAGTTATTTCTTCATAGCGGGAGCAGGAGTGATTTTTTTTTTTCTTCATGCATCGCTGCATTTTCCAAAATTTCCTGAATTTTCAGATTTCTATAATCAGAAAAACTAAACATCTTAGAACACAAATGTTCATTAAATAGATGGATAGATGAATGAGCACACTAATACACAATCCCACATATAATTACATCCACTCATATCTTCTTCACACACACACAGATGCAGCTGAACAGTCATATTGCTCATTTATTTTAACACATTAATAGTCATAAACACACTCATATACTCCCATGGACATGCCCTCAAACAATCCTGCACCCACTGAATTGTAAACACACCCATCATTAACTGACACATTAAAACACACAAAATCATATTCTTTTTTCTCACACATATGTGTGTAAGAAGGGCCACAATCACAACACAGTAATCCAGTTGTTTATCAACACAAACACACATTCTTGCATATACTCACCTTCAGCCTACACAAACTCACAGGCACGTCTATACTTACATACTTATAGATGTGCAGAGAATGTTTATATCAACATCCAGCCACATATAGCTACACGTGAAATTCCGCTCAAACACACACATCCACATACCCATAAATGGGTTTTGAAATTTTCCCAGATTTTTCAAGTTACATCTGAACTTTCTTTTCTCAGGAACTTACAAGAAAGAAGATTTCCATCTCCTACTCCAGGTCTACCAGATCACAGGACCAGCGGAGATCTTCGTGAATAAGTTCAAAGATGACCACTGGGCTTTAGATGGGCATGTAAGTCCAGTTAAATCTCACTCCATCTTTGACCTCCTCGTGCCCTGCCTCATCCCCAATTCTGAGATCACCAGCAGGGAAGAGGTGGGGAGAAGGATGTGGAAACTCCCAGGATCAAGGGGAAAACTTAGGAGGAGGTTTTCTACGGGGCCAGGATGGGAGCGAGAGTTCTTATCTTAATGGTGTGGGCAAAGGAAAAGATAAAAAGTCCAGGAGACTCAGAGTCCCGAGGATCACTGCATCTGAGAGAGATGGAGTAAGTTCTGAAATTAGAGCAGAAGCAAGGCATTGGGGGTCAGGGGTACAAGAGTGAATTCAAGCAAGCTGAAAGTAAGGTTGAGTGGGAACTGGGAGTCAGTGGGGAGTCCTAAGTGACTACCTCGAACATCTGCTCACATTTGAGGATGCAGATTATAGGTGATTTAATATAACTTAAGAGACTAGGATATTGGGAAAAGAATTGGCCTTTCTTTCACTCCCTTGTGGGCAAGACTTACTACATTCTAAGCCATTCTTGAGCTGGAAACCAGGTCCCCAGTGATGCTCCTCTGCCCATACCTTCATATTCACAGACAGTGGCATTGAGTATAGTGCCCATTGAAAACGCAGGATTTTACCTACCACCTTCTCGGCATCCCTGACTTGGATTGTTGGGGCTAGAAGAGAAGGGGTGGGGATGAAAGGAAAGTCATGGTGAGCCAGGAGTAGCAGAAGGGAGTCAGGGTGCATCTTAATGAACAGTAATAGTTGGTGGAGGACTGGCATGAGGTCAGTGGCTTTAGTGACTTTGCTTTATAAATATGTAAGGAGAATCAGATGGTTTCCCCAGGGGCTGATACAGGCATTCTTGGTATATCCAAAGGTGTCTTGGGTATCTAAGTACTCGTCATAGTAGTAGTAGCAGTCCAAAAGCTCTGCAGGAACAGCAGACTCTACCATGCTGGGCACCAGATGTAAGAGGAAAAGGGTCAAAGTCGGGGGAGGGAGCTAGGAGTACAGGCCAGGAGCAAGACAGGAATGGAGCTAGGGAGGGCCAGAAGCAGCTGGAACAACTGCCCAAGATGACAGCCCACCATCAGGGCCATTGCTATGGGTCACCCAGGGCATGTGGCAGGGGAGATAGGTGGGGCATTCAGCCTGGAGCCCCATAGATGGAGAGCCCCACCCTGGGGATGGAGCACCCTTGAGTTGGAAAGTGCACCAATAGCAGAAGCATCATGAACACACACCCCTAACTGAGGAGCCCACAGGCTACATGTTTGAGTTCCAGGTCTGTCACATGAGCATCAAGGAGGCACTGTGGCAGCAGGGAGGGGTTATGCCCGCAACTAGCCCCTGCCAAAAAAAAAAAATTAATAGCTATTGGAACTGTGATGAATTCACAAAGTACATTAAACTCACTAGGTATATTTTAATCATGGTTCTGATTGCTCCACACTGCTCTAAAAGTCTGTTTCCACCACAGTAATAATACTTAGCACATATCTAGGGCCTCTAAAGTGTTCTAAGTGCTTTATCTATATTAACCCACTTAATCCTCATAGCAGTCCCATGGCATAGGTACTGTTACTATTCCCAGTTTACAAATGAGAAAGTGAGGCACAGACAGACTAAGTGACTTGACAAGTAGGAAAAGAAAATTTCTCGCTACCTAATACAAGGAGTTGGTGCCCCTGCCCCACCGCCTAGCACATCCATTCCCTCCTGCCTGGGTGTAGGAAGAACGACAGTGTCTGTGTTTCATGCTGTGGGTGGGTGGGTGACACCAGCACATCTGACAGCGTGTACCTGTGAGTGTGTCCCTGGCCTGGGCTGCAGGAGTTCTGGCTCCTTCTAACATGCTTCCCATCTTACTTTCTGCTCCCACCATCACAGGTCTCCTCAGAGTCCTCCGGAGGCACCTTCATCTACCAAGGGTCTGTCAAAGGCCAAGACTTTGGGCAGTTCGGCTTTCAAAGACTTGGTAACTAGCCTCACTTGTCACTTGGAAGTGTGAGCTCGTGGGTGTTGGGAGAAACTGTGTGTGTTGGGGCCAGGGAGGGAGAGGATTGGTGAGGTTCAACCAGCTAAGACAGGGGTTCTTAACCTTTTTTGGGTAGGGAACGCCTTTGAAATTCTAACAAAAGCTATGGATTCTGTCTCCAAAAACAAGCATATAAACACATACCCTCAACGTTTGCTGAACAGTTTCATGGATCAGCCCTTGAGTTGAGGGCCCTCAACTTAAAGGGCCATTGGGTCCCAGGTATAGTCCCCTGCCACACTACCTGGCCAGCCCTCGGGCATCACCTCTGCTTCAAGATACAAAGACGCCCTTAAGTGATCAATCTTAGGGGGGTCTCAGGGCTGCCTTCACCTGTGTCATTTCCTCCTCAGCACAGTCCTAGAAGGTTGGCCTTGTTGTCCCCATTTTATAGATGAGGAAACTGAGACTCATAGAGTCTTCCCTCCCATCTTCTTCCTTGGCATCTTTCCCTGCATCCTTTGGGCTATCAATGTCAAGCATCCTTACCTCAGAGATTGGCCTTGACCCAGAGCCCCTGGGTGCCAAGCCTCAGACTCTAATGGCAGGAGGGGTCCCTGGTTTCTCAGAAGCAGTGGAAGGAGACAAGAGGCAGTCATGGTGCACCAGAGCCAGGTCTACATCCCAGCCACTGACGCCTCCAGTCCCCAGGGGCCCATCAGCCAAGGCAATCCATTGCATTTTCTCACAGCTGTGGCCTTCAGAAAGCTTCCCCCGTATTAAGCAGGAATCTGCCTCCTTGTCGATCCCACTCCACACTGCCTCTCCCCCAGATTTGTTCTTAGCTCTGGCCCCTCTGAGCTGCATAGAAAAAGACCACTCTGTCTTCCATACAATAACCCCCTTGCTGTAGAGTTGATTCTGACTCATAGCGACCCTATAGGACAAAGTAGAACTGCCCCACAGGGTTTCCAAGGAGCGGCTGGTAGATTTGAACTGCTGACCTCTCGGTTAGCAGCCAAGCTGTTAAGCCACTAGTGCTTCTTACCATACAGAAGCCCCTCAAATATTTGAAGACCGTTCCTTTAGCTCCCACAGCCTAACAAACTGGAAAGACTTCAGAAAGTTGGGGTCTTGTTCTGGCTGCCCTCCTGGCTCATTGTCTCCTGAGGCAGGCCTGTCCCCCTCTCGGGGCTTCAGCTCCCTCAGTTAGGTGGAGCACTTCACAGGGGCCCCCACCAGTTGCCGTCAAGGCAACTCTGACTTATGGCGATCCCATGTGTCAGAGTAGAACTGTGCTCCACCCAGGGACTCCTTAACATGGAAAGCCATGTCTGTGTTCTGAGCCTGCCCAGTCAGGGTAGGGGAGACGGGCAGGGGAGGAAAGACTCAGGAAGACGCTTCAAGGCCCCCCTCCCACTCCAACCAGAGCAGTTCCACTTTCATCTTTTTTATATTTTGGCTTCCTCATAAGGCTTCTTCTAATAAAATTCTTCTCTAGCCAAAAAAAGTTCAGAAACTTCTAAAGGGCTCCACCCTTTTAAGATTCTATTCTGAGATGTGGGTTCAGGTTCTTCCTCAGATTCCCTTCCCCAGGACTGAGCATAATCCTCTGGATACAGTCTGACCAGCACAAGGCATGAGCATAGGGGGTCCTTCCTCCAGGGGAATGTCTGAGGCGGGCAGGGCAGGAGAGGGTAGGCTCTGGGCCCCAGGGCCCTCCCAGCTGAGTGGAGCAGGTTAAATCCCAGGCCACAGCCACACTTCTCAATAGGATGTGGTGGGGCAGAGTGGTTGACAGGGACCATAGCCTCAGACTGTGTCTCTTTGACTTTAGTTTTGTGGTTTGGGACTTTACAGACCTCAGGCTGCTGGAGTCAGACCCTGAGTCCATCGGCCGCCACTTTGCTTCCAACAGCAGCTCGGTGGCCGCTGCAATCCTGGTGCCTTTCATCGCCCTCATCATCGCAGGCTTTGTGCTCTATCTCTACAAGCACAGGTACAGGGAGGGAAGGAGCCCAGGGGCTGGGGGTGTGGGGAGAGGGGGTCACAGACGGGTACTAGGCCCTGTCCCGACCCCAAACCACCAAGAGCCTTCTTGGCTCAGGAGGGCTGTAACCTTCCAGAAGGAAGAAGTAACCTATCTCACCCCCTCCCTGTCTCCCTTTCTGTGTGTCTGTCTTTTTACATCTCAGTCACTCTCTTTTTCCCAGGAGACGACCCAAAGTTCCATTCAATGGCTATGCTGGCCACGAGAACACAAATGTCCGGGCCACGTTTGAGAACCCAATGTATGACCGCAACATCCAGCCCACAGACGTCATGGCCACTGAGGCAGAGTTCACAGTCAGCACAGTATGTACAGCTGTATAGCCACAGGCCTGGCTGCCACCGCCACCATCACCGAGAGCCCCGCCGCTGCCAGCCGGTGAGATGGTGTGGGAGGCAGACCGTCCCCAACACAAACACCCCATGACAGACACAGAGGTGCACCCATAGATGCCCAGAGGCTCCAGCATCCAGAGTCACACATTCACCAGGACAGGAACTGTGCAAGGAGCACAGCTGTACGCCAAGCCCTGGGCTAGGCACTTGAGGAAAATATAAAAAGTAGCTGACATTTGTTAAGCCCATGCTATGTGCCAGACACTGTTCTAAGCACTTCCCTGTGAACCTGCCTCTACAACATCAAATCTCTACAACACCTGTGAGGTAGTTGCTATTATTATCCCCATTGTTCTTTGTTATTGTTAGCTGCCGTTGAGTTGGCCCCAACTCATGGTGACCCCCCACCCACAACAGAACGAAACACTTCTTTATGATCAATTTTGGGTAGGACCATTGTGATCCATAAGGTTTTCATTGGCTAATTTTCAGAAGTAGATTGCCAGGACTTTCTTCCTAGTTTATCTTAGTCTCTGCTGAAACCTGTCCAGCATCATAGCAACACAGAAGCCTCCACTGACAGACAGGTGGTGGCTTCGCATCAGGTGCCTTGACCAGGAATCAAACCTAGGCCTCCCAAATGGAAGGTGAGAATTCTGTCACTGAACCATCACTGCCCATTATCTCCATTACAGATGAGAAAACTTGGTGCATAAAAATGAATTAACTTGCCCAAGATCACACAGCTAGTAAGTAGTAGAGTCCAGATACTGTACTCTCAACCACTGGGCTTGGTAAAATATCCAAGTAGAGCATAATAGATAGATAGCTGGACAATCCCTGCCATTGGGTCATGAGGGGAGCAGCCCCGCCACCACATGGGCCAAGGCCAAGACACAAACACACATGGAGACTCACAGGTACACACTCTGGCACTTCTAGACACATGTAGGCCCACACACATGCACCTCTTCCTCTCTGCGTCCTCCAGCGATGAGGAAGCATTGCAAGATACCGTCTTCCTTTAGGAGCTGGGAACCTGTGGGAGTTGCCCCAACAGGATGTCCTAACTGCACCCCCACTCAGAGAACTATGCCTTCTCCCCAAACTTCATTTGTTGGGGTCAGGCAGCTGCCCTCTCTCAGATACCTCCTCCCATCTTAGAGAGCCCCAGCCAGGGCTTGAGGACTCTAGGGACAAATTCACAGCACGCAGAGAGGGAGGATTTCAGTGGGGCAAGGGAAATCAGTCAAATGAGCCATCAATCACACCACAAAGCAAGTTACAGCTCTCCCCTCCCACATAGATGGCTGTGAACGTGACATGCATTTCAGGCCAGACATATGGAGCTTCATGAGGGAACAGGCTGGTGTGAGTGAACTTGTGAGAGGGTTGGGCTAATGGAAATGATGGGGACGCTAAATGCCAAGAGAGTTAGAAGAGTAACAAAAGCAATTATAAAAGTCTCCATCAACCAAGCATTGACCGTGCCCAGTTCAGAAGTGACATACGTTACTTCATTTCGTCTTCACAACAACTCTAGGAGAATGTTTACAACTTCAGTGTGAGGAGGAGCTTGTCCAAAATCGTGCAGCCAGTAAGTGCTGCTCCCAGGACTCACAAGCCTGTGCTTTTCAACACTTTGCTCTGCTCCCTTCAATTCTTCCCTCCTCTTTTGGGTCCATTGTTTTTCCTCTAGATAATTTCTATTCTTTACATCTACGGACTCAAGCATACCAATGATCATGAAGATGGCACAGGATCATGCAGCGTTTCATTCTGTTGTACTTGGGGTCACCATGAGTCAGAGCTGACTCGATGGCAACTAACAACAACAACAAAGTCTAAGCTTAAAATTTTAAGTAGTAGGATAATTTATACATAAAGAGATAAAAAATATTTTCAGAATATATACAGACAACTACTATTGAATACAAAAAATTTATTGAAAGAGTTTTTCCCTCATCATTTTATATCTATCCAAAACAAGTATTTAAAGAAAGGGAAGAAATTATTTCAGTGGGATCATTTTAACATGACAAAATTATTCCTGAGGTTTCGTCTTTATACTCAATCTTTACTTTTTCCTACTTGTAACTCTTACAAATTGTTGTTGTTGTTAGTTGCCGTTGAGTCGATTCCAACTCATGGCGACCCTATGTGTGGACAGTAGAACTGCTTCATAGGGTTTTCAAGACTGTGATCTTTTGGAAGCAGATCACCAGGCGCCTTCCAAGGTGCCTCTGGGTGGGCTTGAACCGCCAACCTTTCAGCTAGTAGTCAAGCGCTTAACTGCACTACCCAGGGCCTCCATCTCTTACAAATAGAGAGCCAAAAACAAAAAAAACCTCTGATGACTTTTATCAGAATGACATAAATCAGGCCTTAAAGGTGATCAGTAATGAATCCGAACTTCAAGTCACTGCATGAATTATTGGACAGTATAAGAAAGAAACAAGAATGCCCCATCACCTGGCCCAACTCCACACCTCAGGCTCTGCTGGGTCCCAGTGCCCAGGATGCACTGTGCGCTCACCTCTGGGTCGTCTGAGGCTTGGTGACTCCCAGACTTGGCAGCCCTCAGTGTTTCACCCTCACCACAAGCGAGGACCCCTCAACAGGCTGCCCAGCCCCAGTCATCCAGCAGGATCCCTCTGACCACTCCACCTGCCCAGAGCTGGAGCACAGAGAAAGCAGTGCTTGATCCAGGGAGAGGACATGTAAAGAACCCCCTGAACAGGCACACATATGTTCAAAATGAATGCTTAGGTGATAAATTCAAATAATGCCTAATGAGAACAACTGAAATTAAAACCAACATCTCCCCACACAGGGGCATCATGGAGGCTTGTGGGGTCAGTGAGTAAGTGGGCAAGGGGGCAATGCCACATAAGACTTTCGTGGACCTCTTCCTCCATTAAAAAAAGATATTAAAAATTAGACTTTACAACTGTGTTGGTATAACGATGAATACAATCCAGGCTGGATGCATTATTATATATGCATTATTATTCATGTTTTTCTTCTGACTTTAAAAGAAACTAAAATTAAAACATTTTCATAGGTCCCTAAAAGTGTCATGGGCTCTAGACACTGCCTACTGTGCCAAATGAATAAATAGGCCCTGCAAGGGCAAAGAACCACACTAGAAAAATACATTATGTTCTGCTGTGTGTGTTCTCTACCTGCACCAAGGGACAGACACAAACACACATGGAGACTCACAAGTGCACACTGTGCCAGTCCCCAGTATGGGAAGATTAAAAAGCAAAGATAAGGTTCAAGGCGTCTAGTTTTCTTTAATTCTTTCCCTTTTGTTCCTTCTTTGGTTTGCTTTGTCTTGTCCTCTTCTGCCCTTCCCCACCCTCCACCCACTTTGTTGTTGTTAGCTGCCGTCGAGTCAGCTCAGACTCAGAGACCCTGTGTACAACAGAACGAAACACTGCCTGGTCCTGCGCTGTCCTCAAAATCATTGTTACGCTTGAGCCCATTGTTGCAGCCACCATGTCAATCCATCTCGTTGAGGGTCTTCCTCTTTTTCGATGTCCCTCTACTTTACCAAGCATGATGTCCTTCTCCAGGGACTGATCCCTCCTGATAACATGTCCAAAGTATGTGAGACGTAGTGTCACCATCCTTGCTTCTAAGGAAGGATTTTACAAACTCTGCTGTAACCTGTTTGTTCCCAGTTCTCCAGGGGGCAGGAAGCAAGCTCCCATGAGCACAGTGCCCAGTGCCCATCTTTGTCTGTCTCTCCACCTGTGTCTGCTACTACTGGGACTTGGGCTCTTGCCCTGCCACCGTCTGCACCCGCCACCCTGGAGAGGACCCCAACATGCTCTGACTTGGGAAGTAAAGAAAGAGGGGCTGCAAACAGAGGAAGGAAGTTCATGGATTTATAATAGCAAAGCAACTTGTGGATGTGTGTGCATCTGTGGGGTGGGGGGCCTGTACACGCACAAACACACTTCTCCATTTGAGTCCTTGAGAAGAGACTGTAGAAGCCTAAAAAAGAGAAATGTGTGTGAAAGCTGCCCACGCCCTGCTCCCCACAAACACAGAGAAGAGGAACCAACACGCTTTCCTTGTCCCAAGTGTGAGGACGCAATGAATGTATTAGTGTGATGTATCCCACGTTGATCAGTATGCAGAAACCAGCTGTCTGCAGATGGACAGTCCCATCTACAAAATGACAGCAAGGATGACCCCAAGGGCAGAAACAAAACTTAAGAAATAGTTTGGAAATCAATTTCTTTATTTTTCAAACATAATTTTATTTCATTCCAAACTCAGTGAGTTAAAAAGTCATTCTGCATTCTGGGGCCTGGGGAGCATTGAAGAAGGATGAGTCGAGAGGGTAGGGCAGAATCTGGCCATGAACCCATGGTCAAGTCTGGCTGGGAACTGGCAAAGAGAAGAGAAAACAAGTCTATGGCCCAGACAGGGATGCAAAGTCTGGTGGCAGCCAGAAGGTGCAGAAAGGGACAGGAGAGAAAGCCTGCCCCAGCCAGTATCCAGCAAATAATGGCTACTGTGTATGGAGTTTGTTCTCTGTGCCTGACACTTTAGGTATATATATATATATATATATATATATATATATATCAAGACCTGACAACAACCCCAAAGGTAGGAATTATTATTTTCATTTTATAGATGAGAAAACAAGCCCAGAAAGGTGAAGAAACTTAGGTCACACAGCTAGTAAGTGTGGAGTCAGGATGCAAACCCAGGTCCATCTGACTCCAAAGTCAACTATACCAGCTGCCAGAAACCAGGTCTAGAAGGGGCACCAAAGACAAGGGAAGAGTAGGTGAATCTCTGCAGCCAGGTCTGGTGGGCCAGGCAGGGGACTGTGTGGCCTGTCTGAGTTCAGATCTCTCCTCTTAGGCAGCATCAGGGCAAGGACCCAGTACTCCAGGTCTTCAGGAGCTGATGCTGGCCCCTTGGTTCCCAGCAGCCCATGACCACAGCAGATAAAGGACCTG